TTCAAAGTAGTGTCACTTTTGCTGTCCGTTCCGGCCACTTCAGCATTTACAGAAAGAGTATTCTCTGTTATGAACACAAAGTGGCGGGACGACAGGAATAAAGCTTCATTAAAACTAATTAAAAATGGACTTTTAGTTTACTTAAATCTTTGTTTGCTATGTTTAGAGGCTATTAATATATTTAAGAGCGACAGCAATTTGTTACTGGCTGCTATGTCTTTAAAAACAAAAAATAAAATACTTTATTTTTATGCTGAGTACTTTTTTTTTGAACCATTTAGTCGAGAAATACTTTATGTAAAGCCTGAAAAGGTGGCAACCCTAGTTACAGTTAATATGTTTATTTGTCTCGTTTGTAAAGTTGGTGGATATTGGATAGTATGCAAACTGTCTAAATGTCTAGTTTGACGGATATGTATAAAGTTATGATTGGGACTTTTAAGGCGAGCAATCGTAAGCATGTCAGTCAAACTAGACATTTAGACAGTTTGCATACTACTCATGCAGACTAGCTAAATAAATTTAAAAAGATCTTTACTGATTTTATGACGAAACTTCCTTGTCTTCATCATCATTTTGTATATTAAATATACTTACTGTTTCACAAATTGCCGCTCAAATAGTTTAAGCTACAGTACTCGCGCTTTAGCGTGGCATAAATCCAATTAATGTAAGACGGTCGATAATGCGCTGGGAACAGTTACAGGGCCGCACCGACCAGTTAAATTAGCATTTTATTGCTAACGAACTGTGGGTTTTAATAGACAATTATTTGCATTCGCCGCTTATCAGGAATTACAAAGAATGTCGTCCACGCTACTGAATTTACGCCTTTATAAGTAATTAATCCTCACGTCAGCTCAGACGGATGGAAGGCTAATGACATTAAAGAAACCCCTATTACAAGGGTGTGCTTATTAGGGTGCTTAGAAAGGGAGAGATAGTGTGGCATATAAAACAACGTATTTCGAAGAGAAATGTGAAAGTGTGTAGGTACTTCTTGTAGTGTAGGTGCAGTTAAAGAAAATTTATGGGCTACTTACAGTGGCCAAGGTATTGCATTTGACGCCTGGCTTGCTCGGCCCGGGCTTCTTGATCCATAATGTTATTCAGCATTTCTAATTTGCGTTGAATGTCGGCCGCTTCAGCGTTTTCAGGATCTGAAATGTAACGGTGAAAACAGCAAATGTACAAGCTAATCCATTTTAAGTGCTTAATCTCGTCAGATGGTCGTCAAATATTGTATTAACAAAGCATACTTACTAAATTGGTACCGAAGCAAACTGTAAAGACTTTTCTGTAATTTCTACAAATGTTAAAGGTTTAGAAACAAAGGAGTTCTTCTAGAATTATTCATATAACGGCTGAAATTCGTGTTTGGCACGCAAGGAAATATATTGTGCCAGGACACTTACATATTTTATATCAACTGGTAGTAAATGTACTACATAATTGTATATAAATATGTTATCTGAAATGTATGAAATCCGTCATTGTATACAATTCCTAGGAAATGTGTGAAATAAATTATATTTGACACATTTCCTAGGAAATCTACACATTTCCTAAATAACAATCGTATTACAGGTAACATCGGTAAATAGGTAAAAAACCTTAATTAGGAAAAACGACATTCTTTTATTTTTATTTAGAGAGGGGATTATTGTTTTTATTAGGGTTTTTGCAACTGTAAGAATGAATTTATAAAAAATGGTATGATTGATGCTAATCTAGTGCATAAGACAGAAGAAACTGAATTGAAATTTTCTTTATTTTGGCATCAGGTAATGTTTAAGAAACAAGGTGGAATTACTTCTTACATTGAGCTCCTCTGTCGTGCTACAATTTAAATAACTTTATCAAAATTGTATTGATTACAACCAGTTATTATTTTTTTTGTTGAAAATACTTCAACGATGATAATATTAAGAGAAATAACGATGGAAGAATGGATTAGATAATTAACTGCCTCTATTAAAGTTCGATAATTACAACTGATGAGTTCTATAAAGTTCCTTCTTTGGCACGTGAAGCACATTTGGGCGCTAAGCACGAAAAAGGTCACCGGAACCTGCGTCAGTTTTTATTACATTCTTGGTAGTATGGAATCAAACACCAACCTCAGAGATTGACATTTTCCTGAATATAATTGTCCATCGGAATAAGGATTAAAAATTTCTCAGCGGGGGATCTCAAATTAAAGATATACAAAGGAAAAGTTTACTTCTACGTGTTCTTCATATTCAAGCATTTGTACAAGAGGAAAATGCATTTTAATTGCAAAATTAATATTTGGTACCCATAATATTTGAAAAGAAGAAAATTAAAATTGAAAAATATTTTAATCGTTTTATCTCATTCTGCATCTAGTTGCGCATTTTTATAACGGAAGCCTATCGGAAATTAACAAAATCTTATTTCTCATCTCTTTGAAAATCGATATATCGGAATAATAAAACAAGTCGTAAAAATTTATTACTTTTATCTGTTGACTGAACTTGACGGTTTTCAAAACACTATTTACTATCTACCTTTTTGTGCTTCTGCTTTCGTTATTACGCTTCCGTTGTATTGCTAATAGAAAAACATAAATGTCTGGCATATGCCAATTTGGAAGACTTTTTTTACATAATTAATAAGCTTGCTTTATTGGAAATATAGAAATAATTTTTGGTAATCATTCTGTGTATTGTAACAAGCCCTTTACATGATTTGACACTTTACAGACAAGTACAGTAAACAAGTATGTAAACTGGTCAAGAAAAAAACAACCAGAATTTTAAACTATTACATTCAACCAACTAAAACTTCGATTTGCTCATTGAGATCGGAATATCAGATGCTTCACTTAGTCGGCTCTGTTAGTTTGCAGTAGTTGTTTCAGTAAGTTTATCAGAAACATCCAGTTATCTTAACACTAACTTTTGCATACAAACTAGAGTATTTGTTACATCAAAAGCTATACTAACTCGGGAATAGTTTTGAACAACTATGACATTTAACTGAAGATGTATAGAACATACCAAACGTTAAGAACGACACTTGACAAATAAGCAAATGTAGTCCCTATTACCAAGTAAGAACATTTGTTACCTTTTCTTAGTATGCGGGATGTATTTTTTTAAAATAATTCGTTATTATGATCATGAGATCGTCAATTCTAAGACTGGTTGGACACGCACCTCCACTCTTTCCTATCCTGAGTTAATCTTCGCATTTCTTAACTTAACTAAATGATTATAAGTAGTAAATGTATATAAAATCAATGATTTGATTAATTGTTCTGTAATACACTTTACTTTGAAGTAATTAAAATATTCTTTTCTTCTTTTTAGTTTAAATTTGTACTTCTAGGAATAGTTATAAATTGGCATCAATCTTTTATTAGGCGCTGACCTTTTTCTATGAATCATTTTGTCTCTTTTTTTCCCCAATCCAAAAAAAGGCTACCAATCGGCACTCTAACGCTCTGATCGACTGCGTGGCAATTAGGGAATCCATTCATTACTGAATTCAATTTGCCTCTCTGTTTTCACAAACCACTTACATCTTATTGGATGTGCCTCACTAAAAATTCCCTACCCAACATGTTTTACCAAATTGTTCTCAATAGAATTATCGCTTCCCCCAAAATGAGATAATTTGTGTCGACGAGGCACGTCATCCCATTCACCAATTTTCCAGAATACTTACGTACATAAATATGGAGAAATTAAACTCAATTAAGACTTTCAATTAGTTGAATAATAAATGGCCGATCTTCTAATAAGGAAGGTACGAATTAAATACGACGTCTATTGTTCATTGTTGCGACCTTAGCCCAAAAAAGTGGTAGTTAGAATTTTTTAGAGGTTTGCATATTGATCAAAAGTGATACATAATTGGAAAAGCAAAAATGTTTTTCACTAGAACGCAAGCATTCTTAATGTTTCGACACATTCAGAGTATTTAGTATGCAACGGATGTTGCGTGCGCAGCGTGCAACTGTCAGCAGCAACTGCCAACTGTATAGAAAACCAAAAATAGGTAATGGTGTAGTCTCACCTGGTTGTAGCTCCTATATGCGTGCCTGGTAGGCACATCAGGACTCAGGTGATGGTCGTGATGAGTCGGAGGGGTTGGTAAATAATGATGGTTTACCATAGTACCATCATCCCTTTCGTACGAATTTTCCCGTGACGTTTCGAGGGATTGTTGCGGTGTGTGCATTTGATTGACGGTGGACCGAAATTGTGACGCGGACGAATTGGGGTGTTGACCAACGGGGTAGTTCAGGTCGGATGTGTAGTCGCTGTCCTCCGAATACCCCGCTGAAATTTCATGGTCAAACTGATTAGAGGGAGAATAAGCTGAAAAAAGGAAGGACAATTTCTCTCAGCAGGCAAAAAGAAAAAGAAAAGTGGTGTCGTATAAAGTGGGAATGTATTACATGAAAGTGAAAAGTACAGTTAGTTCAAAACGTCATGAGCTGCGCGAGAGACGGATCCTACAGAATTCATACTAATTTTTACCCACGTCCATCGAAATCGGTCAAGCCATTTCAAAGATTAGGCGATAGAGACAGAAAATCTTTTAAAGATCGTTTGTGTTTTAATAGCTTATAAATAAAACACTTTAATATTATTTATTAACGATGTGCCTCTTTACATAGCCTCGGATGGAGCTCCAGATAAAATGTAAACAGTGATGGCTAATGTCCTTCTGATATAGAAATCAATAAAGCGCTAGGTTTAGTAATTGTTCAACCCAAGGTAAAGCTCATGGGATTCTGAACTACCTCTACAATGCGTAAACGTTTGTGGTAGTTTTCGTAAATAAATATGTGAATAATATACAATGTGGTGTGATAATTACCACATATCGGTAATACGATGCTCAAATGTAAAATAATTCTTCGCTATCTATGTTTTGAAGCCTTACAAATATTATCCTTTGGGATAATACGATAAAATCTATTAAAACGGTTACAGCGTGTTATAACGTGATCGTAGCCAGGAATTTATTAAGAAGGAAGGATAATCATTTTCCAAGATGTTTTTAAAAAAATTTCCACAGATTTCTATGTTCTGGAGAAATCAGGAAGCGGCTAAACAATTGTTAAGTTTGTGTAAAAATACAGCAGGACATAAATACTGATGAGATCAAATAAAATCGAAATCACGATCCACGTCTATTTATCCCAATAAATTCCTGACCAAGAATTTAATCCTTTTACATATAAATTTATACCTAATTGTAAATACTTTCGATTAATATTAATCTAAACGGTTATATACCAAAGAGCTAAACAAAACCTTATAGTTTATATATGAATGCACCTTCTCTGTTCCAATTTATCTTTATTTGCTTGAGGAAGTTAATTAATGAAGGTAAAAGAAAATTGAATTCATGTGAAAATAATATTTTGGATCTTCCATAATCAGTCTTTATAAAAACATGACTGAGCTTAAGGGTGAAGACAAGGACGCCTGTATATAAAGGGCCTCCCTTTTATAATAAGGGAACTCTAAGATATTAATCCTTGGAGTCCTGAAACTACAAATTTCCTTTTTCATCTCGGACTGCCTTAATGTCAAGTGAGGTCTCAGTAATGATTATTTTTTTATGATTAAAGTTTCTGTACGAATGACGACTTCAAATGAAAGCTTCACGATTATGTCTAAATGTATTTAAACCTTGAAACCATTTGGTCTAGAAAAATCTATTTAGTTATCTAGAAAGCGTTTTAGTTTATTTCTTGTTTCTCAAATTCAAAGATTGCCAATTTTGGTTATCTGCAATTTATACCCTTTTTAGACAGATTGTAGTAAAAAAGAAGGAACGAATTGGTAACATGTTTTTTTTTTTTGAAAAAATGTAGAAAAAAGAAAGTTCAAGTACTGTAAGCCCCAAGCTTTTCATTTTCACAAAAGCAAATATTTGTTTACGTTATATCGTTTCCTTTTTTTGAGTATCTTTCCTTTTTGTATAAAGAAATCTCCAATCAGCTTTAAAAGCAACTTAGGCAGCGATTTTCAGATATTTATGATTTTGAATATGAAGGATGTTTTGTACCTCGTGTACAGGTGACGCAAATAAGGGAACGAAATAAATGTCACCAAAAATAAAATCTTTTTGAAACGGTAAACTTATTATTACAAAAGTAAATAGAACAGAAAATTGTGAAGATTTATGAGGTTTCTATATATGCTATCACCAAAAATAGCTTAAATAGGTGTTTTTGGATCTTTATTAGATTAGAATATCTGAAAATCCTGAAGGAATATTAAGACACTTCAAAGGAGTTTGCAAAAAAAAAACAGGAAAAATTCAACTGATGCTGTTCTAATTCGGGTCTAAAGGCCGACGTCGGTTGAAGTTGCTTCCTAACGTTTCACTATCACAAGTGGTGGTGATAGCGAAACGTTAGGAAACATTTCCAACCGATGATAGCCTCAAATAGACAAAAATTTTCAGTCCCTCAGAGTCTTTTAGCGTCTTTGTGAGCGTCTCTCACAATCTCTCAGTTACTGCCTAGGTGTTTTTATAGATTTCTCACAGGCTCTGTATGAGAGACTCGAACGATAAAATTGTTAATTCAGAGATTCGAGTCTCTCACAGAGAGACTGAATGAATAAGACTGAAAAATTGAGAGACTCGAGTCTCTCGTAAAAAGACTGGGATCTCTAAAATATGTTGAACTTAGAAAATTTTAACCATGTCTATCGAGACACCACTTATTGAGAGATTCGAGTCTCTCGTTCAGA